TCCGCTTCACGCTTCACGGCGTCTGCTGTTGCTGTTGTGGCGTTTTTTGCTCATGCTGTTGCATCTCAGATGGGGATGTGGAGATCACATGTGGCACAGATGCTGCTGCTGCTGTTGGTGATGCGGCGATGTCAGTGTTGGGTGAATGATCAATGAAGTGAAGACAAAAGATGACTTATTTTGTCATTGCCATGAGAGGCGGAGTGAATAAATGATAACAGTCCTTCTGCTTCCTCCACTTCGGGCTGATGCAAAGGACTTGCAATCTTGGCCGAGATTTGTGGCTGCTGTTTTTCAGCTAATGGCTGTGCCGCCTGTTGCGTTGGCCGTGGTTGCTGCTGCTGTGCATGCGCCTGAGAAAAAAGGAAGGATCACTCCATGATCAAATAACCCGATAAACACCGATATCCTTACCTGCGCCTGCTGCTCCTTTGCAACGGAAATCCAGAAATTTAACATGTCGTTAACATACTGTTCACTGACAGTCTGCGCAGTTTAGATTATATGTTGCCGATCGAGCTGGTGTTGGTATGGCAGACCGGCTCCCGGTGTAGCTGCGCGCGGCACATACGTTTGGGCATACGGTATATGTCCGGCTCCAGCGCCCGGAGGTGGAGGTAGAGCTGCGCTCAGCACATACGTTGAGGCCGGACCGGTAGATGGCATCCATCCGGGCCATCCAATATTTTGGCTCTGTGGGCCGCAATAAAAATTAAAATTAAACATTTCTTCACAAACTTAACTTCACTTTTCGAGATATTTCCAAGAATGGCATGAAAGACAGAGTCTCTCCGGACACCGTTATGTGCACATATACATGATACGTTGCACACATACAGGACAACGGCGGTACAAAAAACCAATACGTGAGTCTCAGATTTATATGTATGTGTTACGGGCGTTTAATAAATAAATAGATAAATATGAATAATTAATAATAACTGCAAATAAGTTACATATATAAATAGATATGGACCGACTTAAATTAGGGGATTAACATATACATACATATAAATGGAGACGTCTAACAAAAATAAATAATGGGAGTAAATATGTTAATTGATGATTTTTTCTCTCTCCCTAAATGGGCGAGGGACCCGCACTACGTGGCCAGGATAGTTTCCTCGAGACCAGCAAAAAGCAAACCAGGATGGCGGAGCTGTGTCCTATTCCCTATGGATTTGCCAATAAAAAAAATTAATTTGGGGTTTCTTTACTCCCCCTTTGGAGCGGACTCACTCTTCGCTAACCTTTTCCCCTTAAATTTTGGCCTTGCCACTCTTTTCAAACTTCTTTCCTCCTCACCGCTTCTATGGGGTATCGATATCTTCGCATGCAACACAGTAACATCATGTTTCACTCCTTAATGGTTCCATTCCTGCGCGTAAACGAGGAAAGGGTAATAAATGCAATCGGCCGTGTCACTCGAGAGGGGCATTCCCATGAAATGGGAGTTGGTGTGGTCAACTTGATCTCCAACATCCAGCATTATGGGAATGCTCCTTTCGTCGTGATTTACGACGAAATACATTTGAAGTGGGGCGTGCGTGGCAACAAGTGGAAGGTGCTAGCGATAGCAGCCTTCAACTTGGATGGAAGGAATTTCCATTTCCTCCGCCTGAAGCTGGTCAGCTTCATTAGAATGAATATTTTTTGGTATTCTAATCAATTAACTTATTTACAAGCCCTCGTATCGCAGGAGGTGTTGGGTAGCCATGCCATCGACTCCGGTTTGTCCTTCGTCCTCGACAACATTCGTCGGCGAGGATATGGCCCGAGATTGATGTGCATCCTATGCGATGGCTGCCCCGCCAATATACTTGGAAAGACGAACGCCGCCCAGGAGTACTCTGTGCTCTGGGATGTCGTTCACCTGCGCAAACTATTCGCGGAGAAGTTCGAGGTGACTGACACGGTGCTGGAGCACTGGCAGGACACCGGGTATCCACCGGTCCCGACGTACACCTATGATCCCGACAATACCTTACGGACTCGGACTATCACGGAGCTGGCACAGGTTGAACGCCTTGTTGAACGGAAAAGGAGAAGACAGAAATTGCGCAGCAGAAATGCTAACGCTCATAGTTTTGTACAGCAGCGCCTTGTTCGGACGCGTTTTTTAGCAATCGTTCGCGTGAGTCTTCTACTCTTTTTAATAAGTTCCAGTTGTCCATTCTAGTATCGTTAGTTGATCGGCTTAAGAAAATATTAATCGGAGTGATCTTTCCGTAACGGCCATTTCGGTGTCTGCTTTGTCCGTGGCATTCGTCGCGCTCGCATATACATATTTGTTTGTTTTGTTTTGTGCGTTTGTATGTTTTTTGTCCAAATGCGGCAGCCATTGTTGTTGCCCTCTTAGGGGCTGAACTGAACAGCACCAACCTGGAGCTGTGCGCGTCGGTGATTGCTAGCCAGGTGCACAGAATAGTCCGACATATGGAAGTCGTGCCTGCATATCGGCGGGAGTTTGACAGAACCGTATCGGTTCATGGCGACTGTCGTTGGAGTCGTCGAAAGGATTACTCCCAAACCTTGCTGATAAAGCAACGCAAGCAAGAGATGCTAAGCCCAAGAGAGATACGGACGCTCATTTCTCTTGTAGCGAAACATTTAAACGACGGCGGAAGACAGCAGAGACTTGGGGCGAAACATGAAGAGAGTTTTTCCCTTGGAGTCTGAAAATTGGGCGCAGAAACTATATAATTGTCATAAAAAAAGTGTCCGAGCAGAAAGGAAAGGCAAGAAAGCCAAGTCAGACAGTGTCGCCACTGCTGCTACTGCCCCTGCCCCTGTCTCTTCCGCCATTAACAACGGCGCCGACGATCCAGACGATCCTGATTATGAAGATGTATTAAACATTATAATAGACTAGGTATGTATTTATGGTATGGGTATATGTATGTATTTAAAACTCTCAGGTGCTGGGTGGAGCCGGACTCCACCAAACAAGTATGAATTTCGCGAGAGCAGTCTCACCCCACCTCCTCCCATGGACAGAAACCCCCTCCTGTATATAGTGATGGGAGTTGGGTGGCACTTCCGTATCAGTTGGAGTATATTGGGCAACTTCCATCACTAGAAATCGTCTACTTCGTCTTCAAAATTTACCAATTTTTGAGAAATATGATTTTGAGGACATGATTTTGAGAGAGATGGGGAAGCGACAGATAGTAGCAGACATCGATGTTCTTAGATCCCACTAGGGAGGTTGAACATTTTCGGCCACACTGGAAATATTCAGAAATGTTGCTAATTTTGGAAATTCGAAAATATTAAAAAAAAAAAGTTTAGCGAAATAGGTCAAAACAAAAAAGCGGAAGAGGATAGTCGTTCAATTGTTCAATTTAGAGATTCCATCGAATATTATTAGCTAGTTTATGAATCAATTTTCTACAAGAGAACCTACTTTTAAGACTTCCCTTTAATTGTATTGTGTATAAAACAAGCATTAAATTAAATCCATTAGAATAAATTAAGTACATATATACGATTTGAGAGGGCGTATGGAAGTTTCAATACCCATTGTTCTTAAATGTACCTTTAAAAATTAAATGTAATATATTGATAGTATAGATGGACAAGAGCAGTGGGAAAAAACGATGAAAAACTAACTTAGCCCACTTGAACCATGTATATATTCTGTGTGTGGTTATGAATTAGCGGACTGTATAATCTTTTAATATATTGAGCTTATTTATTTACATAGGTTCATATATTGAGTATTTAAGATTGGCGGTTATGTTACACATGTACATATATGAATAGCGGGGGTTGTCTATGATGCGGCGGTATAAATGCGTGCGGTTGGTTCCATCTAGAGATTTCGACTAACTTCCAGTCCACAGAAGAAGTCGAGCCAAAAGGGAATTGAAAGATCAGGCGATGCGACGGTCCAATGCAAAACGGTACACATCGTTGTATGCGTGCGCAGCTGCGGGCTTTAGCTATACGTGTGAGAACATTACAGCTATGTTTTGGAGACGAGCAAAAACAACACAGCTATGCGCGTAAAAATAGTAACCTAAGCTGTGCAATACACTCATGAGCGTATGAATAGGGCAGTTGTAATATACATGAACATTGAACTACAAAACTACGAGCCTCATTTCTCAACAGTATGGTTGCGCTTAACAGAACGCAAACAGAAATATGTTAACGGACCACTGTTAGTGCTGTTAGGTGTGAGCGCTCAATTTAAACGACTACAAATAATTATTGCACTCAATGTGTGTGTTTTGATTGTAATTGCACGCACTTAAGAAGTGCCGTAAATGCAAACATTTCGAAATGCAGTGCAATTTGGCTCTAGCCAAGCGACGGACGACACCACGCTACGATTACTGCCACAAAATGGGGCCATTACGTACTTCAAGTGTTTTCGGCCGCTTCAATTGCAAACGAAGCACACAGCCGTAAATTTGTTGGCAATCTATGAATTTTGTGTTCATCTTTTCTTTTCCATTATGACAGCTCTAGCTATAATTGCGAAAATATGTTGGCCAGTCCGCGGTTCGTGAGTTGGTTGGCTTTGGCGAGCGTTTCCTGCAATTAATTTGGCAGCTCGATGATGCAATCCCGCCAATCGCAAATCGCTCCTTGCATAATGAACTGGCCAAAGAATACCCACACAGCAGCAGCGGCAGCAGCAGCAGAGGGATTGCACAACAGCCACTGAAACAGGTTTTTCTTTCATTTTCATGTGCATTTCCATTTCGCTGCCGTTACCATTACGTGTGTGGGGTTTCAGTTGGTAATTTTCACTTTCACTGGCACCCCTCTCCCCCTCCCCTAGCGCCCACCATTCATTAATTTTCCTCTTTTCTTTTTGAGTGTTTCTTTAGCTTATAATTTAAATAAGAAATTTTAGGGGGCCTAATACAATGATAAAAGTACTAACACATTTGGCTTACAACTGATGTGGGGACCGACAGGGGTCCCCACCAGATCTCAAATCCGAGTAGCTGGTCAGTTTGTCCTCTCACCCGCTACTCGCTCCTGCCTCTCCTCCTTCTTCTGCTCTGACTCCTCCCCCTCCTGCTCCTCCTCCTCGTGTCACCCGTTCAACGTCCAGCTCAACGTTGCCTCGTGGATCCGTGATTGGAAGACTCGCTGGTAGTGTCTTCGCTTGCTCGTCGATCTCCTCCTTGTTCGTTTGCTTCTTCGTTCTCCTTCTTGTGCTCGCGTTCTGTGCTGGGCTCTAGTAGCCGTGTCCGTGTCCGTGTCCATGTCCGTACTCGTGCTGGCTCTGATGGTGCTCCTCGTGGTGCTTGAAGATTGGCACTTCAACGTGGTATTTGTGTGGCACCGGAATCTCCCTGTGGATGGGCACCTTCACCTCTGTGTAGACGGGAATGGGCTTCTCAATTGGCACCTTGACTTCATATGGTACTGGCTTCTCGACGGTGTAGTGGACCTTCTTCTCCACGGTATAGGGTTGGGGCACCGGCACCTTCACGTGGACGGGATAGGGTTTCTCCACCTGCAGGCGATACGCAAAAGGATATTGGACGTTAAATTGAGAAAAGCTCGGGGATCGGGGATTACTCACCTCAACTTTGTACGGTTTGTCGACGGGCACCTTCACCTCATAGGGAACCTTCTGCTCGACGACCACCTTGTATGGTTTCTCGACCTCGACATCATAGGGTTTCTCCACCTCTACATCGTAGGGCTTCTCCACCTCGTATTTGACTTCATAGGGCACCTTCTTGATGACTTCGTAGGGCTTGGGTACCGGCACCTCGATCTTCACCTCATGTGGCACCTTCTTGATCACTTCGTAGGGCTGTGGCACTGGGACTTTCACTTCATACGGAATCTTCTTGATCACCTCGTAGGGCTGTGGAACATGGACTTTCACCTCGTAGGGCTTGTCCACTGGCACCTTCACCTCGTATGGTACCTTCTTGATGACTTCATAAGGCTTGGGCACATGGACTGGTACCTTGACGTATTCCTTCACATGAACAGGCACCTTCTTCTCCACTATGTACGGCTGTGGCACCTCGACTTTCACTTCATAGGGGATCTAATGGTAGGCTCATTAGTTATCTATTCTTCTTGGGGTCTGGTCAACATAGTTCTGAAAGGGTGGGCGTCGAGTCTCACCTTTTTCTCCACGGTGTAGGGCACATGCTTAGTCACCGTATAATGAACTGGGACTTTCTTCTCGATGGTCACTGTCTTGATGTGCTCGTGGTGATGGTGGGGCTGGTAGTGATGATGGTAGTCGCCCGTGCTGCCATAGAGGCCGCGCTTCTCCACGGTCTTTTCGTCCCCCCCATCGGCTTTCTTCTCCTCCGCAACAGCCGCACAGTGGGCCAATGCCAAGCACACGGCGAGACAAGGAAGTACGAACTGCAAAAAAGGATAATCCGTATATTTAGCACACTCTCCACTCAGGGCACTCCACTCCACTCCACTAACTACTCTTTTGTTTTGGTATTTGGGGGTAATCGTAGCTGTGTTTTACCATTCGCATTGTTGAGCTGTTGATTTGACGTTTCACGAGGGAAACAATTACTCCACGATTAGCTGTGTTATACCAATAACGAGATCCAAGCTGGTACTGATTCGCTCTACCGCTGCACTCGGCTTTTATACACCGAAAAATTGGTTGGCTCGGTGTCGGTGTCGGTCTCTGTGTCGTGGTCTTTTCTATATCTCGCAACGCAATTCACAATTCACTGAGAGACTGGAAACTGGGGACTGGGGTCTGTGGACTGCGGCTGCGGCTGCGCGAAGGCGCATTCGCAACTTTTGTTGTTGTTGGGGATTTTGGCTTAGTAATGAAAAGTTAGTTGGGGAAACGGTGTTATATGAAAACTTGTTTCGGATTTGGTTTTGGTTTCGGTTTCCAGCAGGTGGGTTAGGGGGCCAGGAGGCCAGGAAGTAGGAGGCTTGTCGGCGCAGGAGCCTAAAATTAAAACAAAGGGGTCTGTAAACGGGTCGTTATCCTATTCAACAATAGCTAGGAAGTATGCATCTGTTACAGAGACCCAAATAAAAGTCGCAGAGACAACAATTAAAGCATTTCAATACGTCTGTCTGTCGTCTGTCTGTCTTTCAGTTGATTGGCAAGAAATATCGGATTGCGCGCGCAAACATGGTAAGGCTTCCGTTTTTATTAGACCAAAAGCCTGGACACATGATATATGTATGGCGAAGCTGGGGATTATGCAAATGGAATCGGTTATTGACTCCATCTCTGGCTCTTCTCCCGTAACCCCAGAGCAAGGCAAGCCCCACGAGTGTGGTAAGGGGCAAAGACAATATGAAGGTTAAGCTTTGGTTATTTTATTTGATAGATTTTACATATTTGATCTTTGGCTTATGGGCATTTACGGGGTCATCATTTCATTTCAGCTTTGTGGGCGCCACAACAAAAGATCTACAATAGGTACCGAGCTGACCAAGCCAACGCCATTGTGGCTAAGGAGTTCGAGTCGCGCTGACACATGCATGCCACAAACGTGCAATTTGGGGGAGCTCTGGCTGATGGCCTGATCGTGCAGCTCCCGGCGTGACTGGATGTACCTACATACAGACTCGTATGTATTCGTATACATATTCCTAGTTATTATGTGATGTATGTTTGCCTGACTGGCTGCCTGGCTGCCTGACTACCTGGAATTTTGTGCAATCCGGGCTCACTACTCACTCACTCATTCAGTCATTAAATCGAAAACATACTTAGCTCTGACTTCGGCTATTTTAAAATCCATCATGTGGCAATACCAACAATTCGACTAGCAAAAAACAAAAAAACAACAAAAAAAGAAGAAGTAAAACAAAGCCAGGCAGGCATTGTGCCGTGTACAATTTTCGCAAATGCAGATAGACGCTTCGCGACGCGACGACAGACGCGGAAGACAGACCAGACCCATGCCAGGCCGGGCAAAGCATTTACATACATGCTTATTATATTTCATAATCAAATTTAGGCACATTCCCCCATTTTCCCCATTTACTGCAATTCTTTTGAGGCGATATGCCCACTCTCTGCCACTGCATTTGGTCAATGACCTTCACTTTTATTTAGAGAGGCAACGCCTCTGCTGTTGGTGCTCTCCTGCATTGTGTGCGTTGTAAAAAGCGATGTGTGGTGATCGTAAAAGCCCAAAGCTCTTGACACGCTCTACCATGAACCTTTGCCTGGCATCTGTAAAAGAAGGGTAGGGTAGTTCCACACAACCTTGACCCATTCATTATTTCTCTTGTTATCTGGTTTGAAACAGGCAATGCAATTAGTTGGAGACTGTGCGGGGCCGGCCCTTTTATTTTGTTTAGATTTTAAGTGCCTCATGGTGGGGCGATGTGAGTGGAAATAAGAAATCAAATGTGAAAGTAAATCTCTTAATTCACGCATTAAGACATGTTGTTCAATATGTTTCCTTTAATAAACCGGGTCCTTTTAACCGGGTCCATTTAACTAGTTTCAAATTTATATAATAATTAAATGGTCCAATAACCAGACATGACATGCTAGTTGATGATTCGCCAACAATTTGTAAATTTCTCTGTACATACATTCATTCAAATATTTGCGCCAATTCACATAACAGCCATGCGCTTAACAGGCACATTTCAAGAAAGCATAAGAGTTGCATTCACAGTCGATAGTGAGCCAATCGATGTTGCGATACCCTAGGGAAAACGGTATTATAGAAATGCGGAAATGTTTGTCATCTCAGGCGCCAATTTAGGGTGTTTTTAATACTTTTCGGTATTTTTTTAGGTCGCTATATGGTATATTTTATCAATTTCATCAATCCATTAAATTTTATTTTCAACGTTATATAGAAATGCAATAAAAGCAAGTGGTTAAAATAAGCCATTTAAGTAGGAAATTGATTCATTAATCGGATAAAGTTATGTGGGCATGGCTAAATGTGCTATATAGCTGAGAATATTCCACGAAAGATAAAAAACGAGGAATATGTAAAATAGAACTTGGATTCGTCAGTATATTTGCGGTATATTTTTTAAGTGACACGGTTTTTTTCTGACGGTCGGACGGTATATTTTATCGACCACGGTCACACTCCGCTTATCGCAAGTCATTTCAGAAATCGGCAAATTTTAAAGAAAAGTTAGCTTTGTTGATTTTACGCGTTTTATTTATATATTAACTCCTTACATTGCAGTTAGACATGTTTCTTACGCGCTCCGAGTACGACAGAGGTGTAAACACCTTCTCGCCCGAGGGTCGCCTCTTCCAGGTCGAGTATGCCATCGAAGCCATCAAATTGGGTTCCACCGCGATCGGCATTTGCACCAATGAAGGTAGGCAGTTAGTCGTGATACTATTTTGTGTTTATTAAAATGTGATGCATTCTGTGTTCTCAGGCGTTGTCTTGGCCGTGGAGAAGCGTATCACATCGCCCCTGATGGTCCCCAGCTCGGTCGAGAAAATCGTTGAAGTGGACAAGCACATTGGCTGCGCTACCTCCGGCCTGATGGCCGATGCACGCACACTAATCGAGCGCGCCCGCGTGGAGTGCCAGAACCATTGGTTCGTCTACAACGAGCGCATGTCCATCGAATCCTGTGCTCAGGCTGTCTCCACACTGGCCATTCAGTTCGGTGACAGTGGCGACAGCGATGGTGCCGCCGCCATGAGTCGTCCGTTTGGCGTGGCCATACTGTTTGCCGGCGTCGAAAACAAGAAGCCCCAACTCTGGCACATGGATCCATCGGGTACCTTTGTGCGTCACTCAGCCAAGGCCATTGGTTCTGGCAGCGAGGGCGCCCAGCAGAACTTGCAGGACACCTTTACCGCCGAAATGAGCCTGAATGAAGCCATCGATCTGTGTCTAAACACCCTGAAGCAGGTTATGGAGGAGAAGCTCAGTTCGACCAATGTGGAGGTGATGACTATGACTGCAGAGAAGGAGTACTACATGTTCTCCAAGCAGGAGGTCGAGGAGCACATTTCAAATTTGGCGTAAATCAGGCAGAGTTTTCCATACATTTCTATATCGGTTAAAATACAACTTAAATGTGAATAAAGTAAAGGGATTCTAAATCACCCATCTAATCGGTGCAGTTTCTTCGAAAAGGTACAAGTCTAATCCGATTTTATATACAGTTGATTTTTATTCATATATTTGATGTATGTATATCGTATTGGTGTATATATTTATTCACTACAACATTTTGCGGGCCGGCTCCCTTCCCTTCGACTTTCGCCTTTCTGGGTTCGCCTCTACAATAATATCTTTTTATATTTAATAAATGTACTCTCTAGACATTAAACTGTTGAGCAAAATCAAACAGCTCGGACTAACTTGGTTAATCCCGATACAAAGGCAAATCATAAAGAATTCTCTTCTCTACTTCTACGCTCTCTTCGTGTGCACAGACTTCTCTCATTTTTGTTGTTTTTAGTTTCCATTTCATTTTACCTAGAACCGAAATAATGCAAATAAGGCAGAGTAAACGCTTACCGACTAAGGGGGAGACAATGGTGTTTCAAAGGAGTGGGAAACAGGTGGTGGACAGGGAAGACGAATCAAAATTAAGAAATTTATATCTATATCAATACGAGAGTATATATATATATATATCTATATATATGTATATGTAAATAGGGATCCCGAGGGATCCTTTAGAGCATTCACAATCGTTTACATCACACCTAGGTTGTTGGATGTTCGCTGCCACTGGGACTGCTGTTGGTGTTGTTGTTGGTGTTATTATTATTATTATTGTTGTTGGTCGCGATACTCGCGGTGGTAGTTGTGGTGTTGCTGTTGGTGCGCAGCATTAGGCGCGACAGACTGGTATTGGGCTCACTGAGAGAGTAGATCTCCGGCTCGAATACTGGCGGACACTCCATGTTCGGATAGTCCGGTGTGGCCGCCTTCGAGTCGACAGAATTGGTGTTTGATACTTTTGGTGTTGGTGTTGGCGTTGGTGTTGTTGCTCCTGTTCCTGATCCTGTTGCTGCCACCGCTGGCTCTTCTTCCTTGTTAGTGCTGCTACAACTGCTGCTGTTGTTGGCCATCGTTGGTGGAGGCGGTGCTGGCGGCAGAGGCGGCTGCAGAGACTCGGATGTGCACAGATTCGTGGTGGATGCTGTCGGCACTCCAGGGCCACGGTAGCTCCGATAGGTTAAGGGCAAGGTTATCTGCGAGAATATCTCTTGATCGCAGTCAGGATCTGCACTACATGGCGGAGTCACGGCCTGCAGCGGTATCTGATGGTTGGGCTGGTGCTGATGATGGCCGAACAGTGTCCGATGCAGGAGGGGCGAGCCCAGAAAGCGGTTCTCCTTCGATGGCTTCGTGGGCGTGGCCGACGATATCGACAGCTTGGCAAAGATGGGTATGGGTGCTGAGTTTTTGCGATGGGCATCGTACTTGGTGCCCGTGATCTTTTCCCTCAGGTCCTGATTGTAGGTCTGGCTCTTCTTAATGCTGCTGCTGGCCATTCCACTGCCACCAGCTCCTCCCCCATCCAGGGCATGATTCGACTTGGACTTCTTGTTCAACGGCAAGGTCATGGTCATGGGAAGGGATGGGGTCACACTGCCACTGCCACTGCCGCTTCCAGAAGAGTGCTTGGAGGTGAAGGGAAAGCGTCGATCGCTGCTGGACTTGCCCTTGGTCTTCTTCGGATCGGCGCTCGAGTTTTTTCCACCTCCTCCACTGGCGTTGCTGCTGCTGCTGCTCTTGTGCAAGAAGCTGGAGAACTGCAGCTGCTGGGAGCGCAGAAAGTGCTTTGTTCGACTGCTATGATGCTGCTGTTGTTGCTGCTGTTGCTGTTGCTGCAGCAACTGCTGCTGCTGTTGGTGGTGCTGCTGAAATTGCTGATGGTGATGATGCAGCTGCTCGTGATTGCTGGAGGAGCTGGGCTCGTCCCCGCATATCAGCTCGTAGCCAAAGTCGCGCAGCTTCTGTCCCTCCTTGGTGCGTGTCCGCTTGATGCTCTCGTCGTCCGGCTTGAAGCTAATCTCGTAGTCCGGAGTCTTGGGCAGGCTCACGCTCTGGATCTTAGGCAGATTCGCGGGCGGCTTCACCACGGTGCTGCTCTGCTGGCTGGCCGTGGACTCGGTACGCGCATGCTTGTGCTTTTCCACGCCCAAATGCACTCGATTGTTGTACATCTCCTGGGCCTCTTCCTCCTGCTTGCGCAGCATAAGATCCTTCAGCGTGACAAAGCCCTGGGTGTTGTGGTGATGGTCCAGGGTTCCGCCAACACTCATCTTGGGCAGCAGCGTCTTCGAGGTGTGGAAATCGAATTCCACCAGATTGGGATTGGAGGCATGCAGAAAGTTGAAGGGCACCTTCTTCAGGCTCGACTTGCTGTTCGGACTCGGACTCTGGCTCTGGCTCTGGCTATCCTCGGAGCTTTGGTGTTGCAATGAGCTGACCGTAGGCGCTGGCGATGTGGGCGGACCCAGGGCCAACGATGCCGAGACCGAAGCTGAGACCGAGACAGCAGACTCCGTGTTGCTCACCACCGAGCTCCGGCTGGAGCTGCGCGACAACTTGCGCGTCTCAGCGGCCATTGCCGTTTGAGTGACCAATGTGGGCGGCATGGCCGGATCGTGGTAGCCCGGAGTATTGGCTCCGATTTGGATGCCAAAGCTACCGCCCGGCACCTTCCGGTAGCTGCGATACTGCTCCGTGGGTACCGGGATGTCGCTGGAGGGCTTTGCCGCGCTGCTCTTAAACGGGCCCATCGTGAACTTGCGGAACGAGTCCAGGTAGCTGCGATCGTGCTTGATCCCGTGCCCGGTGCTGGAGGTGGGCGTGCCGCCGCTGCCGCTGGTTAGTATGCCACCGGAGGACATCTCCTTGGAGCCTTGGGGCGAGGGAGTGCACAGATTTTTGGCCACCAGGGCGTCACACTCCTCGCCTGAGCTGTCGTTCTCCGAGTACAGATCTTTGGTGTCCGCGCGAACGTTGGGAGGTATCTTCTGCGAAGCCTGGCGTAGAAAGTCCACCCATTGATTGAGGGCATCGAGGGACTCGGCCGCAAAGTAGAAGCTCTTGGCCGTGTGATAGACCTTGAAGGCGTGCGGCTTAGAGTGCACTTCCTTGGCCAGGGAGACGGTGAAGCCCGGCAGAAAGATGACCAGGCTGGCGGAGGTGCTCTGCTTGCTGCGGAATCCGTACAGGATGGTGTCCAGCATCACAAAGTATATCCTCGCCCAGTAGGTGACGCCGCGGTGGTTCTTCTTTCGCCTGTACAGATGGCCCTGGATGTCGCCGGTGCCCAGGAGCTTTAGGTTCGTGTTCCTCCGCTTGGCCATCAGACTGTGCTTCTTCTTGAGGGTCAAGGTACGCGATTTGCTGGGCGTGTGCAGCTCACTAATCTCCGGCGGCTCCGATGGTGTGGTTGGAGTCTGCACAAGCACAGACACAGGTACAGTTGAAGGTACAGATGCAGGTACAGGTACAGGGATAGAGATGGGAACAGGTACAGGGAGAAGGACAAGTGCAGAGGCTGCCAGCATACTGGCCGGCTTGGGTGGTGGCGGCGGCACCACCTGCGGACTCATCTCCTTTTGCTTGCGCGGCCTGGGCGGTGGAGCTGGCGGCGTTACTAGAAGGAATTCCTTGCGCGGTTCGACGGCTGGCGGGGTGTCCGATTCCTCGCCAGAGTTATCGTACGCCGGTGTGCTGTGACTCTTGTCCAAGCGTCCACGGCGATTCAGCAGCAGGGGGGCATTGATGGCTTCCGCCAGGGGCAGGTCCTGCCCAAGGGAGGCGACATTGATGGCCTCCAGCAGCTCCTCAGCGTTCTCCGTCTTACAGTTGCGCAACGTCTCCAGGGCATCCTCGTCGCCCTCGTCGGCGAAGGGAATGGGCTCGAAGGTCTCCAGGATGGTGTTATCCACATTGCACGTAAACTTCTCGTTCCGCACCACGTAGTCCTCCACCTTCATGGTGGAATCGAAGCGGACCACCTTGCTGACGCCCGGCTTGTAGCGATCCTCCACATGGTCGCGCTCCCGCTGGAACTCCCCTGTCAACTGCTTCAGCTTGCGCGCTTCGTTGAACATCCGTCGAGCCTTGTCCGTCGAGCTATCGCCAATCCCAATACAGGTCGTGGGGCGCGGTGCAATCTCCAGGCCATAGCCGAACGAGATGGATTTGTCGCGAATGCTGGGCGACCCGGGATCACAACAGGCCGCCGAGGAGCCGATGCCCGGCTTTCGTTCATGCCACGAGGGCACAACCAGATCGGAGTGCTTGAGGCTGAGAAACTCATCGCCACAGATGGTATTCCTGCGCTGCAGCAAGGCCCTGGGCTTGGGATAGTACAGGCGCATCTCCCGCGTGGCACATTTTGGATCCGTGGGTGTGGCTATATCACTGCAGCTGGAGTCCGAGTCCGAGGAGGCTGGCGGACTGGTTTTGACCACCTCACTCTTGTCGCTGGCCAAGGACTTAGTCACCTCCGTGCCCAGCGTGCCCGTTGCCACCTTCTCCGTGTCCAGCGTGAGAAAGGCCGAGCGCGGACTGGGCATCTGATCCGCCCAGCGACATGCCATGTTGCGCTTTTTGCTCGGCAGCCGGTACGGTTGCATGTAGATCTGGCCAAACATCTTTGTGTGCTTCGGTCGCTTCTTTACGGTCAGCACCACATCGGGCAGGGACTCGCGCAGGTGCTCCAGCACGGTTTTGTGCTGCCATCCGACCACTGTCTGGTAGTTGATCTGCACGATCTCGTCGCCGTCCTCGATCTTGCCCGAGTTGTGGGCCGGCGAATGGTACTTGTTGTCCGTCACGCGATGGATGCCATTGTAGCTGGACTCGATATTGAAGCCCAGCTCCGACTCGCGCTTCTTCAGGTTGACCAGGTTGAGGGAGGATGGCTGCAGCACCATCGGATCGGATATGTCCTGGATCATGAAATTGGCCAGGCTCTCCAGACGCTCGGCGGTGCTCCTTATCTTATCCACTGGGTTCTCGGCAAAGCGGTCCCGATGCGCATTGGTGGCCAGCTCCAGGCCGCATTTCAAAACATTTCCGCAATACTCGCGGTAATTATCCTGCCCCCGGAAGGGGGAACGCTCCAGGCTGCCCACCAGCGGCTTCAGCGTAGCTATGGTCCTGGTGATGTCATGCAGGGTCCTCGTATCGATCTTCGTACTGTCCGCATGGTTCTTGGCCAGCTCGCGGTGTAAATTCCTCGCTGCCGTGGCCACATGCAGGGCCATAAACTGTAGATTATCATTTTTCAGATGATAATGCTGCAAGATCAAGGTCATTTGCCATATGTATTGCTGGTGGAAATTCCCCAAGGACAAATGCACACTGTACTCACAAAATTTCTCAGATTTTCAACTGCCTCCAGCACGATCTCCTGATGGCCTATACGCTGCATGCCCAAATTCTCCAACTCATACGGTCGTATGTTGAGCAGGGATCGCCCACCGATTTCATGTTTGGAAAATTCATATAAATAACCTTTCATGGACTCGTCGAGACCTTTATTCGATTATAAACAAAAAGAAAGTCGGGTGAGAAAATGATACAAAATTCCTTGATTCTTGCGGTGGGCGTTGCTGTTGCCGTAGTTGCTGTTGTTTTTGTTGTTGTTGCTGCTGTGTGGGCAGTGGGAATGCAGCCCACGGATGCAGTTTTTCCTTGACCTGTCAAGCAGAGCTGTGATTATATTACCTTTGATCCAGTCCGTAACTTGGTCCGGTGTCCATTCAGCTATGTTTATATAGGCCATCCTGACGCGCGCACACTCTCGCTGCCACACCTAGGTCATCTTATCTTTATATAGAACGGAACACTTCAATAAAATAAAAGAATTTTTATTGTTTGCGCCAGGCAGGGCTGCAAGTATTTGTATTGTATTTGTTGTATTTTGCTCCTCCGCGAGTCCATAGCGCGTCTTAAAAAATACTGGAAAATACCATAAAATATATACTAGGTGCGTGAGCTAAACATGGTGTCAGTGTTACCCTCAGAAAATAGCGAAGTGTAACGTCTCATTTTCAAAATATAACTTGAGTTGAAACAAACCACTTGTCTACAATGATCAGGAATCTTTTTCCCCGACTTTGGTATGATGTTAAGGAATTTAACATTGATTAAAGGAAATAGGGTATACAAAAACCGCACATACTGTATTAAGATGTTGTTGATATGTAGCAAATGTTTCCGTGTAGTTACCATGTAAAAAAACTTGTTTTATAGAAATTGTTTTTGGCCGTTTACGTTTAACCCTTATATTATAAACAATCCAATTATGGTGAGGACCTTAAACTAGCCAATCAATACTATAATCAGTATTGTTCACCTGTTTGAACAGAGGGGGGATAAGTGGGTGAAATTCGTTTTTATAATCGGTATATTTTTAAAATGTGACGGCATAATTCGGTATATTTCTAAGGGTCAGACGGTTTCAACAGCTGGTCCGTCAGAGATGCGCCGACTTCGTTTGAAAATACCTCATCAAACCCATTAAATGCAAATAGATAAATAATTTGTTTATGATTTATTTTGCAATTGCCATTCCATAGATTACGACCACAACATGCTGGCCAAGTACATTTAAGTGTATATATGTGCCGTGTGGTCCAACTGCAAAGAGAACGCGCACGTTTTTCCGTCGCTGCTGTTTTTGCTCTCAGTCAGTTGCTCTGAGGGACGACGAAGTAAATCACCGCGTGTTTCTAATCGCTGCAACTAGCCTGGGTGCACAAATACCAAAGGAGAAATGTCTGTAACGCAGACGAAACAAATCAAATTTTACAACCCATCGAGTTCCGCGAGCTCCGACAGGTAACGCAAGATACAACAGTGGTACTGTGTTAATAGCGACGAAATAACGCATAAGTGAAGTGTGAAAATCCAAGAAAAGTCGTTAGAATGTGATATACACTATGCACACGCACACATGCATACACGCACCCATGTGCTCGAACTCATTCATCATCGGTGGGCCTTAGAGGCTAAGCACGCAATACAAAATGTGCGAGGCGAGGAAAATGGCATACAAGTGTACATAAGTTTTACATAAAAATACATACACACTCAGACGTAACAGATGATAAATTCAATTTCAATAGCTTTTGCCTGTTGTCATTGCCGGTTGTCATTATACGCTGCAGCTAAAAGAGAAAAACAAACCAGTGAGAGAGAGAGAGCCACCTCACGAGAACAGTTATAAACGCAATGGCAATAACAAAAACAGCAATAAGCAAACAGTCGATTCGACGTCGCGTCTTCGTCTTCTCCCTCCCCTGCCGTTATATATACCTACCTACGCAGTAGCAGAGAGCCGCTGGCAGCGCAGCTTTTTAACCTTAGCTCTGCACTCACACTTTTTTTTGTCAGTCAATCCCACAACCCGCGTGCTGCTTGCTGCTTACACTTTAGCCGGTGCTCGCATTTTATTAGATATCGAATAAATATTTCTCACAACGCAAAAAACTGAACAAACCCCGAGGAAAATAACAGCTTTATTCATAGCCAGTCCATACCACACCACATGTGATCGTGCCGGCCCATGTGCAAGCATTATTCTGTTATTGTGTGTCGTGTGTGAGTACGCCAGGCGAGTGATTGACCCATTTTGGCATCGCCGGCAGCGAACGACTCTCACGCCCACGCCACGCCAGCGCCAGTCCCGTACGTACGGTAGAGTAAAATGAGCAGTATCACGTTTTTGTGCAGCAAGTCGAATGGCAACAACAACCACAGCGATGTCCAAAGGGGAAAACCAGCATCAGCATTTACATCTGCGTCCGCATCCGTCGCCGTCGCCGCTGCAGCCGCCAGCGGTCTACTAACCATCGCAGTCCAGCCGCAGCAGCAGTCAAAGGTTAAGGCCGCCGCTGCCGTAGCCAAAACCAATGGTCACATGTAAATCATTGCATTTTTTCGCTCTAATGTACACCAGTGCATACATATGCATGTATGTATGTATTATCATACGTTGCGAGTCTATATTTTTGTTGTGTCTGCCTTTCATCAGTTCATTCGTTATTTCGTCCATTTACCGCCATTCTAATTGTTTTGCTGTCGCCCTTGTTCGTCGTGTGTGCCTGTATTTGTTCGTCTCTCTGTTCTGTGTTTAATTAACGCTCTCGTGCCTCTTTCTTACTGTTCATATTGTTTATCGTCTCAGCATCTGCGCTGCGACGCCGCCCTGTCAGGTTGGTTGGCATGGCGTCTAATACCAGCGGAGAAGTTAAGTTAAGAAAAACGATAGCGTCAGCAACTGCGCCAATATGGCTGCGATCAAGCCACGTCTATTGCCACTCTGCTTCCTCCCACTGCGGTACAAAAATCCTTCTGTATGCTTGTTTTCCTTCTCCCTTGCTCTCAGGCAGGTCAACCTGTTGTGCAAGGCTCATACACGTGGCAAAAGCTCTTCGTCTCCTTCGCTCCACCATCTCTCTACCTTTATGATATGTATGTGCTTTCTTCTTCTTTTACTGCGGGCGCCTGTGTACGTGTATGCGTGTGTTGTGTATTTCTTATTACTACGAAAAAACTATAAATATGCTTCGCAATGGTCTGGTCTGTCCATTTTTGGCACAGCTGAGTAGCGCTGAGTAATAGCGCGGTGGGGGGCGGGGGAGTGGATGTGGTCCCGTCCCAATTGGAGAGTGCAACGAACGCGCCTACGCAGCATCCCAAGTCTAGCGTCGCTTTGTCTCTGCTTCTTGCTCTTCCTCTGTCTGTATGCATATGTACGTATAATTGACTGACGATTCGCTGGAAACTCTTTGATTACTCTGTATACATCCATATGCATGTACATTTGGATTCGTGTATATCATTGTATGTATTTATTTCGGCAATGATGAAGTCACGTCAGCACTCTACTTTGCACCACACATGGTGGAAATACAAAAATATACATGCAAGGTAGACATATACATATGCACATATGGATTTATCCAGTAGCATCGCATCTTGGACGAAGCTTTCACCAAAGCTTCTCTTCCATTGAATTCAATCCAGATTTGTTACCAAGATGATTGCACTTTGTTGTGGGCTTTCGGCACGCTTGCATGTGTGGGAGGCATGTGCCCAGAGAGGGTTGCGTTGCTGTCCTGTCTTTCGAGTAGAGTAGGTCAGTGAGTATACTATATCCTTGAACTCTCGCCACTTCAAGACTCTCTTAGAAGTACGTATAATAATCTAGATGTATATACAAACAAATAACCTTGATGATTTTGTAATGAAAGCCCGAGATTAATAAATTTTTGTACCCATTTTTGTGCCCCTACAACGGAGGTGGGTGTACGACCAACCTTATCGTTGATAATCACTGAATTCCAAACCTTTTGGCCACACGTATTATAAATAAACATTGTCTGTGGGGGCTCTCGGCGGGGCTGGGGACAGGGGACTGATCACAATACTTGACATAGTGCTAACGATGATTATAAATCTTTGCAGCGATGATCGTTCCGATGTGACAGAACCGCTCTACGTCGATCCCTATGCGGATCTGGGCAATGGGAATATCGGCGGCGGGGATATTCTATTCTGCTGCCCGGCCTCGCCCACCACAGTGCCTACCAAGACGGCGCTGGAGTCACCTATGCGACGTGCTGGGCGGCGCCAGCGCACTACATCGATTGGTAATCAGACAACTACCGCAAATCCGTCCGAGTGCATTATACGGGCCAACAATCGTACCATCTATACAGCCGGTCGTCCGCCATGGTACAACTGTGCCGGTCAGCAGGTGGAGCCCTTTGTCATAGGTACGCTTCACAATCCCCCACCGCAGCTTAACAGAGTCTGATCTTCCCAATACTCAATACCCAATACCAATCCAGGAATCTGCGGCGGCAGTGCATCGGGCAAGACAACTGTGGCCGAGAAAATCATTGAGAGCCTTGATGTGCCCTGGGTAACCCTGTTGTCCATGGACTGTTTCTACAAGGTGAGTGAGGGGCGGAAACAAAACTACATTGGACTCCCAATAATATTTAATGTGTAAACTCCTGGCCAGATCCTGAATGAGAAGCAGCACGAGCAAGCTCTGATCAACGAGTACAACTTTGATCATCCGGATGCCTTTGACATCGAGTTGCTGATCGATGTGCTCACGAAGCTAAAGGAGGGCCGCAAGGTGGAGGTCCCGGTATATAACTTTGTCACACATGGCCGTGAGACCCATACGAAGACCATGTACGGCGCCAATGTCATCATATTCGAGGGCATTCTTACCTTCCACAGTCCCGAGGTCCTCAGGCTGTTGGACATGAAGATATTCGTGGACACAGATCCGGATATACGTCTGGCCAGGCGCCTGAAGCGGTAATTGCTTCGCTTAGCTCAGAAATGGCAGACTCTAATCTGAATCTGTATCTGAAATGACTTGCAGCGACATTTCACAACGTGGACGCGACCTGAGGGGTGTGCTCAAGCAATACCTGAACATGGTGAAGCCTTCATATGCCAATTATATAGCCCCAACCATGGCCCATGCGGACATCATCGTGCCACGAGGCGGCGAGAACAAAGTCGCCATCCATCTCATTGTACAGCACGTGCACACCCAGCTGCAACTGGTGAGAGAGCGACCAGCTGACTTTGTGTAAATTTCAGTATAATGTTAATGGAAATCCTCCTTCATTTGAATCCAGCGCGGGTTCAAGCTGCGCGAGACGCTGGCCAACTCGTACAAGGACCAGCCAATGCCACATTCTCTGCATTTACTGGACCCCACGCCCCAAATCAAGGGCCTACACACGTTTATCCGTTGCCGGAATACGTCCAGAGATGAGTTCATCTTTTATTCAAAGCGCCTTATTCGCCTGGTCATCGAGTATGCCT